ATTATAGATCTCCCCAGTCAAAGTCAACGATCTTAAAGCAAGGTGATAACTCATTGCACACACACAGTGCTAATGCATCTCACAGCACACCAGCTGTTTCATAGACTGGAAGCTGCATGCATGCATATGCCATACACATACACACTCACCATGTAATAATGCACTGTTAGAAAGACAAACATGCATACAGTCATGCTGTACATGCACACACTAGACAGCTGTTTAACACAAAAAAAGGCCATAAGAGAGCCAGATAGAGGCACAAATTACATTTGTTCTATAATTACATTTCACCTATCACACAGATTTTACAACCCCTTATGCATGTATGTGAAACTGACATTGAACTGTACGTTTTAGCTGACAATGATGCATTTAATTATACTTTAACATGCACTTGACACTGATATAGCAACCCCTGTATTATATAATGCAGGACATGACACTGTACACCCTCAAACTGCAATGATATATAGTAGAGGCTATTTTTAGTGAATAAAGTGATATATTTCCTGATACCTCGGGCAGAAGTCAATGTGCTGACTGAGGCTGCCTTTAGCAAAAGAAAAATAAAAAAATATAACAGCCCCTGAAGGAAGAAGAAACACATCCCTCAGTTCTGTATTCTACATATCCAGACTGGAATTAAAGAAAAAAAAGTTTTGGATAACTATGCAGGGGAAAAACACACTGCTATGAGGAAATAAATTACTTGTCAGATTTCTTCTCCTGTGCTTTTTCATGAACTCCATCAAACTCTGTGTAATGTAGTGGATCTTTCATGAGTACATGAAGACCGTGACACACACACACATACACACTTTAATTAGCTACTCCTAGCTCCTCTCATTATGTCAGTTTGTCATTGTTTCCTGAATAAACCGTGCATTGCAGAATCCTAATGTATTTTGAGCGTGTGAATAGGCCTTAGCACTTCTATGTTGCCGTGTGTGCACAGGCAAATTTGGGTGGCTTTGTGTTTTCGAGGAAAGATGTATTTCTTTTGGTGAGACAGCAGCAGACAAATTAGAGATTTAGACAGATGGTGTACTGCAGGAAACCTTTGACTCAACCCATGTTTTTGTCAGGCAGCTCACAGTGGCCGGGATAGACGAAGAACAGTGCTAATAACCACTTTTTCTCACAAAGTTTAAATATTCCTTAACTAGTAGCTGCCATGAGTTAACAAAGACCTCTTCTAGGTTTGCTGGTGATTTTGCATGTGTTTAGTCATTTTGAACCATACTCTAGACTGATAATAAGGGATGTGCCCAGACATTTTGAGGGGCAGGGTCTCAACCATAAAATGGGGCTATCACCCCACCTACAAAGTCTCTATTCCCACCCCAGTGTTTTCACACTGCCAATCAAAATGACACTATTCATAATGTGCCGTGTTCAAACACTTTTATCCTTGAAACCACACATTTGAAAGAATTCAGCAAACAACAACATTTTAACTATTTTAAACACATTTCCTGTACTGCAGATTATTTTTACATGTAGGGCAAATATTCGAACTAGAATTTCTCAGACAAGCTCATATTCAATTTATGAGTCAGCATGTCTGGATTGCTGTCATTTAAAATAGTGTAGTTTACCATGTAAACATCTTCCCTTTCAGTTTTAATTTCCACCATCTGCCAAACTCAGGCAAGGACTAGTATTTTAATGTTAGGAAAAAGCATGGCAGCAAGCATTATGTAATACCAGCATCGTTTCTATCGTCTTTCTTGCAACTGTTTTACTGTTACAGTCAAACCAGTCAGAATAAAGGCAGCTTAACCTCAGTGAGATAAATGTAAGGTAAATGGACAGTAGCTATTATGTGTGTACGTGCATGTGTGTTCTTGAGGCTTTGATTCAAGGGTCTATCTGGGAAGGAGCTTTTGCATAACTCTGATAGGCCAATTAGTGCAGAATGATAGATGATGAGCTCCATGGCAGACAGGGTCATAATAGAGGGGAGAGAGAAAGCACTCTGTCCTGAATCTCAAATCTGTTCTGCTCTGTCCTCCCTCGATGTTGCATGCAGCTTAGTCACATCCTAATAATTCCTCTGATGAAAGTCTCTTTTTTGGAATGTTTGTTTTTGTGTTTTGATCTGTTTGATCAAGTTGGGGAGTAAGCCTTTTAGTTATTCTTTGTTGTTTTGTTTGGCTTCCTTTTGATTGTCTGGAATAAGATGTTGACATTTAGTGAGTCTGTGAATTAATATTTGAAAATGAAAATGAAAATTGATCTTTAACTTAGATGCAGCCAGGAACCTCAACACGTAGCAGGATTATATTTAAAATCATCTGGGGTTTTCTGATCTGACAGATATATCCAGATGGCATTGCTGTTTCTCTCTGCAAGGAAATAAATGGTAATCACCTTCTCTGATGTTTCTGTTTGTTTTCCCTCAAAGGTCACAGTGAACGTTGTAGAATTTTGTCACAAAGGTTTTTTACTGTCTATAATAATTATGTTTACAGGTATTAGATGAGGTAAGCAGATGAAACAAGACAATGCCATTTGCTTCTTGCCACTCCTTAAGTGCCACACAAAAGCCTGTGTGACATGACATTTGTGACACACAAGAACAGTCAACTCATGAGCAGAGATAACAGACGCTGGCTTCCAGACGTAAAGCACGCCTCTCCTTTTTAAAGACATGAAAAGACATCAACTCAGACAAGAAATCTTTAGAAGTTGGCTGAATTCCAAGCAAGAAATCATGAAACATTTTGACAAAACATTGCCTGGCTTCTTTGATAGGTGGGATTGCTCTTATTCCATCTCATTAGCCTGCCTGTAATCCCTCTTCCTCTGAAGCCGTCTGCCAGAGTGCAGGCTTGTTTGTGTATAAGACACATCTGTTGTCAAAGTGACAGATAAAAAGGTCAGCACTGTATGAAAAGTACAACACTTCTGGCAAATAAAGCTTGTTTTAACTTTCGTAAACAGTGATTTTTCTGTGATGCTGTCATCAGCTAAGAACAAAATAGTAAGGATGCTGTTTAAATTTTGATTAAACACGGGTGCTGTTCAAAAACCAGTGTCAACCTGCATATCAACAGTGTGCCCTGCATGCAACAGTGAAGTGTTATTGCGCTATTGCTCCTCCAGCAATCAGAAATCTATCACTCAGGTACAAGTCCTCTGTTATACTGCACAATATTAGAGTCCTAAAGTAACTTACTGACATGTTTGAAAGAAAATGGAGCAGGGCCCACTGCACTACTAAAAAAAGAACAGATGCAGGAACAATGTGCGATGAGGGATTTCTACACTGACTACCTCTTCTTCATGCCAGTGGAGTAATAACCATGACGTACAACTAGGCCAGTGCTGCCACTATGCTACTACTGCTGAACACTATTGCAGATCAATTTGATTTCATTTGTTTTGAGTCAATATTGCCTATCATCTACACAAAATCTTATCTAATCTTGGCACTAATCTGCGCTGATCTGTTCCAAACAATCCTACGATCAAGCCGGCTGTTGGTGGACATGATCTCTTATTAGAATGACTGTTGGTGGATTTGCTGTTACTCTGCTGGAATTAGTATTTTATTCTCTTATTGTCTGTCTCTCTTCTCTTCCTCTTTATGTTTATTCTGTCCCATCCCACAACTGGCATTTCAACATGTAGTTCCCCAGGTCCCCAGTCCCCCCAGTTCAGTAGAGCCCAGGAAGGGATCAGAGAGCGTCCCCAAATGAGAGTGACGTTGTTATAGGGTGACATGCTGAGCCTGTTTAGCTGATTTACATTGAAATGAGCCATGTTTTTCTGGCTATTGTGGATGAAATTAATTATGTAAACTGTCTGCAGGGCTCATTTGCATTTCTTGATTGATTTCAGTCTCTTTTGCGTATTCTGTATGAAAAAAAAAAAACTGAAGATGAGAAATGGGCACTGTCATTCATGTCAGCATGTTGTCATTGAAATTGCAGAAGGCGTTTGCCCCCAGGAAGTTCTGCAGATAATTGCAAACATCTGTCTCTATGTACACATGTATGTATCCTATTTATGTTTGCTTGGACATGCGTGCACTCAACTTTCTGAATGTTTATCTACCCTGTTGGTGTCAATCAGTGTGGCGGCTCAGTTTATCTTGGAGGGATTATTTGCTTCTATTTGTATGTTTGTGCCTGTGAGGGAGGTATATGTATAAACATAAACACAACACATTCCCAGAGTGCCTTTTTCCTCTTTGTCTCGGCCTTTACCTGTGCCCCTCTGTCCTCCATGCCAGATCGGCTGTTAAATATCCAGCCGAATGCTAACAGAGGCTCTGTACGCCTGTCTGTCTGTCTGTGTGCAGCTCTCCTCTAAACCAAAATGAACGACCCAGTTAAATAATAAGCTGAAGGCTAACAGAGGGACCTCATCAACCTCTGAGCTGTATCCTCTCTGAAGCCATCAATCGTGGGACTAAAGCTAGGCTGCATAATGACATTGTGGCAGTGTACTCGCGCCGTGCTGCAAAACATATTAATGTTAGCCATAATGAGTTTGACAGCCCAATATGGTTGTCAGAGATCATGGAGGATTTTAACTGGCAAACACTGCCCTCAAATGGAAGAGAGGGGTTATAGCAACTGCAGTAAAAGCTGCAGTGCTGTCAGGTTTTGTGCAATTGACATGTCCAAATATCTTCCATTTCCTCGTGATTGTTTTGAAGCATTTTGATTCTGTAATTATTAACATGGCTCTCAGACAGCATTAAATATCACACCCAATACCTATTCTCATTCTGGCCAGCGTTTTCTTACTCTTCTGAATGTTGCTAGCTTGTTGCTCATTCATTAATCTACACATTCACTCATGTATGCCTGCCTTTTCATGTATGTTTACTTATGCTTGCGTTGACCTCCTTCAATTGCCAGTAACCTGAACAAAGATTGGTAAACTGTGATTTCACAACACAGATATGTTTTTTTCTTAATGGTATGTAGGCTAACATGGCTCTATGCTTACATGCCTGTGTCTCTGGCCTATATCCTAGAATCTTGGAGCTCCAGCAAAACGGTGACATGGATATACTGAAGCTCAAGTGGTGGCCCAAGGACAGCCCCTGTGACCTCTACAGCTCGATCCAGACACGACAGCGCGGCAGTGCCCTGGACATCCACAGCTTTGCCGGTGTTTTCTGCGTCCTTGCAGCCGGCGTGGTGCTCTCCTGTCTCATTGCCATGGTGGAAAGCTGGTGGTCTCGGAGGAAGGGATCCAGGGTCCCCTCCAAGGAGGTAGGGGGATGGATGGGTGCCTGAAAGGAGGAAACATGGTACAGAGAGAGGTATAGGGCCTACAATAGATCCCAGCTCTTCTTTTACTGTATGCGTAAGAGGAGACGTGTAATCGATAGAAGAAAACAAAAGGAGGGATCAAAAAATAAAGTAAGAGTGGACAGGTGATGATAGGTTGGATGATGGGTTCAGTTTCAGATCTAAAAGATCTGTCTTACTAGATACAAAGTCTCTACTTCGTGGCCAGGGGTGCAAAGGTGTAAAGAAAAACATCAATTCCTCAAAATCAGAATGCATGAGGAAGATAGATATGAGTAGAGTCTTTTGCGAAGGAGTGTGACACTCACAGAGTCTGGAACTTTTGAAAACTTCCTGTGTTCACAATGTAACTTCCCCTAAACTAAATTTGCACACAAGCAACATCAGAAATACTATACTGATAGCACAGGCTGGAACTGTATTTGTTGCTGGGCTTTTGCACATTCTGTCAAAAAGTGGAGGTGCTATATTAGATCTCCAGTGATATAACTGACGTCGATCTTGTGCAGAGTCTTGTGTATATAAATCTCTGGGTACGCAGAAAGTTCAAACAGGACAGGTTATAAAGTATCCTGTCATGTTATTCATCTAATTGTTGATGTTATTAAATCAATCAAAATGATTAACCAAAGAGATATTCTAGAGATTACTCATGTTGTATCCCTTCTTAGTCCTCATTAGTTAAGCTAAAGTACATTTCTTACTTAAGCTAAATAAGATATCTAACATTAACTATAGTGTAATATTACAGATTTTATTGACTTAACCGTGGTGCACAATCTTACATTATACACTCCTACGGGGAGAGTTTAGGCACTATCAGTCACCCAAGACCATGTTTGCATCGTGCTCATAAAAACACTACATCTCTTTATACCCAGACAATGCACAACACAGTCCAGATACTCAATATGGTATAATTCGGTGGCATTATTTTACATTTACTCTTTTGAAACTAGTAAGTATTTACTCTATTCACCCTGCAATATGTTCAGTATTCTGCTGCTGCTGGTGTCCTGCATTATCTCACCTCTCTTTTTAATGTTTTATTAATGCTATTTTGATGGTGATTAATTTAAAATGAGGCAAATGCGTCAGTGTCAACAGGGTAATCAACCACTTATTTTTCTGAAAAGTTAATGTTTTGGAGAAAAGAGGACGCTGGCAACGTTAAAAGCAGAATACAAAAACAGCCTGAGGGCTGCAGTGTGCCTTGACCAAGGCAGAGTCAGAAACACTGACTCACAGTATTAAACATGGATATTTATACCAGCGTTCTCTCCTAAACAGTGGCAACACTCCACCTTGTAAATTAGCAGCAGCGCCCTGTGAAATATCCAATCAGCCTATGTGCGGTTGATCACCTCAGCAGGAATATCATTTGAGACAATCAAAGTGACTCTGGCAACATCTTCCCCCAGTAGAAACCCTGCAGTGTGTTGTGATGTGGTAGCTTTGTTTGCTCCACCATAGACAAAAAAGGTCTTCAAAGAAAATCCCAGATGGCAGCATGTTTAGTTGCTTTGCTATTAATACATTGTAATTACACAGACTCACGCCATTTTCACCAGAATATACTGGAGTGCTAGCCATTGTTGCAGCCTCACTATTTCAGGAGCTGTTTTATCCATAAAGGGATTTGGCAAGGATTTGAGCAAGCTTCCAATTCAACTTCCAATGCCAACCCACCTTGTCACCTTCCTACTGCTATGTTTACCAAAACTCCTAGGGAGAAAGTGTTCAACTAAATAACTTTAATCAAAACTGTGAAATTGCAGCAAAGTGTGGCAAATTTTGTATGCAAAACATGCCACTGATGAACTGAAAGAAATGTAATTATGTGTGAAATAATATTTTCACTTTTGGTTTAGAGTTAATTATTTATGTGTTGGTAACAAATTAGACTGAGGCATGAAGCAGCACAGATAAATTTTTGCAGAAAATGTTTTTGCCATCAGGTAAATTTACTTCAAACAATTGCTTTTTTTACCTTCTGAGGAAGCTATTTGATAATGACAGGTTAAGGTTAACTTATGGATTATGTCGTTAGAGAATTAATGTAGAACAGTTTTCCTCATTAAACTTCTAGTCCTTAGAAATATAAAACCAACGTACCCTCAGTCAGTAAGATTCTACCATAATGTATTACAGATGGTGTTGCCTGGTAACTAAAATTGGTTTTAATTGGAGAAAAAAGATGACCATTACACTAATTTTGGACTGTCTTAGTGATCTCTGCATGAGTCTAACTACCAGAAACTAGTAACAAGCCTGTCCCATCTCCTTAATCTTTGGTGCCATGCTCATTTAAAGTTCCACCAAGAATAAATTAGAAAAGATGACAAAAAGATGGGAATGAAAATTGTGACTCTACCCTGGATGATTTAGTGTCAGATCAGGTTACTTTTTATGATAAAAGAACGATGACACCAATCATCTGAAAAGTAATTTGGAGGAAAGTTTCGACATGAAAACTTGATGAACCACTGGTTCCAAATGATTAAATGAGCAGCTCCTGGTTGAACATAGGTACATCTTCACAATTTATTGTATTACTACATCACTACAATTTCTAGCTTTTGATGAAGATGTCTTGTACTCATAAATCGTCATTTAGGTGTCTTAAGGGATAGTAATAATGTGACTTGAGTGGTAGTGATGTCCTTTTACATGAAAGGCAGATATACTTGTAGGTATACTACAAACAAGTGTTACTGCAGGCAAATAGGTGGTTTGTGACTTGACTGATGTGCTTCATCAGCTGTGATCACTGTAGTGTGCACAGGCTGGTCTGACAAACTACTTGGAAGTTTCACACTGCTTTGTTTACTGCAGCCCAATACGCCACCTGCAATTGCTTGCAACTGATCAACAGTGGCCAGAGATTTGTTGTATTTATCACTTGTCATTTGGGCTGTTTGTTTATCGATTTGTTTAATTGTTTAATTTTACTTGCCCTCCATGTGGACTCCTCTTTAGAAAATGAATTAGTTTAAGACTAAGATTATATGTTTCAACAAATGCAACGCTGGCACCCAACTGACTACCCTCGTCGTTTTGATTTTGGTCAGGCAACAATATTTATTTCTTCAGCACACACATCGACAGATACTCCATATACCCCCTACCTCCGGCCCCCTGCTCAGTTACCAGCTTTAATCTGTCATTCAGATCAGTAGTCATGTCTGCCACCGAGCAGCCACAAAGACACCAAACCTTTGGTTGAACCCAAAGTCATGTTAAGCACAGTGTGGTTCAGCTGAAACACACAAACACACATGCCCCCCTGCCATCTTCATTAGCCACTAAGAGCAGCCAGTGGAATCAGCCCCTGACTGAGCGCAGGAGTAAAGTCGCTAAAGTGAATAGGGACAGCAGGGATTTAAACGGTGATAGTCTTTGATTCTCTTTATAGATCTTGTTCAAGGTTTTTTATAACAAGGCCTCATGCAGTTGCTGACATATGAAAATCACTATTATTGGTTTAGAAGTCGAATATGGATCATTGGGTGCATATATGTATGTTCATCATAATACAATTCCAGTTAGTGATAATATTATTTAATTGATTGATTGAGCAACAATCAAAGAGGGTTATATTTTTCAAGTGAAAGGTTTTTTTTATGCAGATAGGAGTAAGATTTTATTTGAATTTAGATCAAAACAAAGTATTTGGAATAGCAGTGGTGCAAAAGCAGTGGGATATCCAAATAAAGTAAAAATTAGATTAGCCCTTTCAGTGCTTCCATGGTGAAAATGAAGTTGGCTCAGTCAGCCATGATTGTTTTTGATAGTTGACCCCTGACATTTATCCTTCACCCTATCACATTATTGACCTATTGATCTTCGTCGGTTTAGCTCAAGGTTTGCTCAGAGTAACCACTGAACCTTAAGGGCTCAGTATGCTTCAAACAAAAGTGCATGTTGGATCATCAGATCATCATCTGAAACCCCCTGCACCGACTCCCTTCCGACTGGGGAGGCTGCATCCGACAATCGTTTTAACTTTCTAAAACCAACAATCCGACAAGCACGCCTACTTCACTTAGCAAGTGGCTAGGAGTGTGGAGGTGAGAAGGTAGGCAGGATTTGAACTTCTCTAACAAGCTATCTATTTTCATTCTATATGCAGCTACTCTCATTACTTTTCGTGTGTACAAACAGGTGCAACAACATGAATCCCTTTGAGGATATAATGACCCAAAGAATTTAGTTTCTTTCAAGCGTACTTCGACTTTAAGACTGCCTCTCCAACTCAAGAAAAGAATTCACCTCATCAATTAAGTTTTTAATTTGGCCTAGAAATTATATATTATTTCTTCCTAAAATTATCCTGTCATAATATATGTAAAAACAGTGGGAATACCAAACTCAGATCTCAAACCATCTGTGCAGAATTTTTCCAAATGGGCGACCAGCTGCAAAGATGGTTGCTGGGAAGAGAGTCAAGCTGGGACCACTGCAGCGTGTCCTTACTCAGTGGAGGAAGGAAGACAAATTTAAGTCAACTTCAAAGCAGCTAATTAGATAAATTGCATATGTTGCATTTTATCGACTGGGGAAAACTCTGCCTCTGCATGCAATTTGGCCTTAGTCATGGCCAATGGAGTAAGTCTAGTGTGTTTAATGTCATCCAACTTCCTTAAGTTAAATTAATAAAGTGAAGCAAACCATAAAGCTTGTAATTAACTCCACTAGACGCCTCGCTCTCTGTCAGTTTAAAGGAAGAACTCATTGGCCTCCGTCTTGCTGTCACAGTGAATGTTAACACCACTTGAGACCATCACACTGAGCCAGCTTTTTTGCAAGCTTCACATAAAATAAGAAAGCCTGGTGACCCACTGTTTATGCATGGGACTAGAAAACTTGGCTTAGCAAGATACATTGGCACCAGGAATATGAATTGGGAGTGCAGACTTGGCATGAGGACTCTGCTTCCAATGCCCTACTCCAACGCAGTG